TCACGCAGTCACGTGCCCGGTTTGAGCGGCCCGGGGAAGGTTTTGGTGTTCTGCAAGCCGGTTCTCTTCGAGCCCCGGAATATTCGGCGGAAGGAGGCCGATTAGGAAGCCTGCCCGAGGCTCTTGTGCACTCGGGGCCCTCCCCAATTTGGCCTGCCCAGAGGGCGAGGAGTTAAACTGATTGCCGCCAGGGACAGGAGAACTTAAGACCGTACGATCGAGCGCGAAGGGCCGCAAACGAGGTTTGCAGTATCCACGACTTCATTCTTTCAGCCATCTAAAGCGCCTTCAAAGACGCAGCGCGCCCCAACATGTCCCAGCCAATCATCCTTTACGACATTGCCATGGCCGGGGGAACGCCTGCGGACAAAGCCTGGAGCCCGAACAGCCTGAAAACGCGGTGAGCAATAGAAGCCCGAAGCCGAGGCAGCAGTACCTAACCGCTATCCTGGCATGTAGACTGGCTCTAAACTTCAAGGGCCTCGCGCACAAAACTCAGTGGCTGAACTTCATCGACGTTGCCCCGACGTTGTCAGGTTTAGGGTTAGCACCTCATGTCACGAACGACCCGCGCAAATGGACCGTACCTGCGATATACGACCCGAAAACGCAGACAACGATCATGGGCAGTCAAGAGATCGCGACGTATCTCGAGGAGCAATACCCAGAACAGCCGTCACTCTTCCCTCCTCGCACACGCGCATTGCAAGCTGCTTTCTACGATGAGGTCTCCGAATCGTTGATCGTACCGATCTTCACGTCACTCTTATATCGACACCTGGAGAAGTGTGCGACAAGGGATAAGGAGTACTTCCGGTCGTCGCGGGAGGCCATCTTCGGATGCTCATTTGAGGACATCGCGCCGAAGGGTGAAGACGCGTTGAAGACAAGGCTTGCGGAGATTGAGGTGGTGCTCGGTAAAGCCGCACGGTGGATTGACATGGGGCCAGGGATATTCGTGGGAGGCGAGGGGCCGCTCAATGCCGACTTCAACCTCGTAGCTATGTTCCTATGGGCAAAGATGGTCGGAGGCGACGAACACCCCGTGACAAGGGACATTTTACGGGCGGACGGAGGTCGATGGGTGAGGTATATCGAAGCGTTCGATGCCTGGACAGCGCTGCACTGAGGGGAACGATTCGAGATGGAAGAGGAGCATGGAATCGATGTACACTGTATTGACTGTAACATCATGTACTTGATCTAGTTGCAACTTGAGGCGATAGCTTAGAGCAGCTTACTTCCTATAGCAACGGAATTACCTTCGGCACTGTCGCTACGTGTGTTCAGACAGCGATTGTTAAGATGTAAGTAATAGAATCCTCATGCCTGGTGCATGTACACCATAGAGGATAGGAGAGGGGTGATGCAAATGCGTGTCAGCTGGCCATCATCTCGGCCCCGCTGCTCTCAGTAAAGGCAACACACGTTCACAAAGCAGTGTGATGCTGAGCCATTCGGCAGCATAGCAAAACTCTAATTGAACCATCAAAGCATGTGTAAAGCGATGCCAATCCAGAGAAGCTGAGTGAACGCCGGCAGGATTGGCGCAGCTGCGTCGCAGCGACAGGATCGACGTCTTGATGGCCTGTGTTCTGACTGTCGATCCTTCCGTACCTGCAAAACGTCACTGATCAATGGATGCCATGCCCATAGCATGTAGTGAGACTGTCTAGTTGGTAGACGGAACGAACAGGAGAGGTAATATGCTGTCATGCTGAGTAGTAGACGGCGAGCGCTGGAGAAGCATCTGTATGTGGCTATTACGCAGAAGAAATCCGGAATAGCTCCGCAGGAAACGCGCTCGATCTGGGTCCGTGGCCGATACACATGGCGAATTCAGGGCATGAGGCGGGTTTCATACTCGAAGGTGCGATAGCAGCTGGAAGAGCGCGGGCCTCCGCCGATCCACCCCTTCACCACGAGGAATAATCATGGGCTAGCCGAACTTGTTTCGCAACCACGACCATCGATGCGTGCCCTCGTCGCCTAGCATAGGGAGTCACCGTATTTATTCGAGGCTTGGCCGAAGGTGGCCGTGGACGCGGGAGAAAAGGACGTGATGATCGGGTCAGACGGCCGTAACCTCATTGGCGCCCATTTTGTAATGGGCCAAAGTAGCCTTCGACTCTCACTTCCGCTGCTTGACTCGACTTGAACCTCAACCACCATGGTCTCCTCTGACGGCGAAGAAGGGAAGCCTTCTACGTCGGCCTCGATCTTGAAGGAGAGGAGATTTAAATTATCCAGGTGCGTTACGATCGACTATTCTTTGCATCTGACTCTAACCGTGCTTTCAGGGCTTGTGATCGCTGCAGGTTCGTCGTATTCCACTCGGACTCCCCAACTTTGCATCTCTGCGGTCAGCCCGTGCGTCTTGGGAGGATGACGAGCAGCCAGATACATATACGACTGCTGGAGAACCCGGACCACGAGCGCGGGGGGATGTCGAGCTGGCCTCACGGACTATCTCTTTGTGCCAATTCGTGCTTCCATGCATCGCACGCTATAGAGATGCTTGTTGCACTCAAAGGATCGCCTCAGGCATCTGAGACCCCGGCTTTGTGGCCGTATTGCCCTTCTACTTGATTTATCCCTCCCCTAATCACGAGCTCATATCATGCTTTCACAGGCGGAGGCGTATCAAGTGTGACGAAGGACACCCGTGTCAGGCATGCCTAGGTGCCAATTCTGCGTGTACGTTTGAGGAACCGGGGAAGCGAAGTCATCCGCATAAATCCAAGTGCGTCATCTTCTTCTCACTTGCTCGGTGTCAGCCTCCCTTTTTCTTGGATCATATGAATTCGTTATCTTGCTGGAGATACGATCGTGACCGATGCGCAAGTGCAATGGTCCGCAGGAGGCCAGCGGTTGTTTATAGATCCGTATAGTGCGCGTATTCGGAGTACCTTGGCTAACGGGCTCTCCGCATTTCCAGACGCACAGCGACACTCGAAGATCGCATGCATCATCTCGAGTCTCTCATACAAGCGATACCACCCGCCGTCTTTGCTGCAGGAGGGTCTGCCGCTTTTGCGTCGCCAATCGACAGCTCTCCGATCGCGCAGCTACCCCACCCGCTACAATCTTATCCCGCCGCACAACCACCGCCCTCCATCAACATGTTGTCTGTCTCTGGCCCGGGCGCTCACTTCAGCGTAGCGCCGCCCTCAGACACGAAACCTTTCGTACCCGGTCAGGGTCGTGTACGGCAGGACAGCATCAGCTATACTATGAGCGCGGGCTCTAGTATCGATGGGATGGGAGACGAAACGGCCCGCATGAGTATGCATAGCAGTTACCTCTACCTCGACGACGAAGGATATACGCGATGGCAAGGAGAAACCTCCGGCCTTCCCATCTGCGACCTTCTCATAGAGCGCCATCAGCCTCCGCGCACGGCGGCCCCTGGACCCTTGAAGACCGAGCGTGAAGACAGTCCTTCTGCTGAGGCTTGGTTCCCGGATCGCACGCCGCAGAGAACAAACCTCCCTCCTGAGCGCATCTGGAAACTCATCACGACATTCATCGCGCCGGATCTCATGGACAGGTGAGCACGCTTGCGGAAGAAGCCGGCAGTCACTCACACCTGCGCAGCCTTGTACAATGCTACCTCTCCACATCCTATTATCTTATGCCATTTCTACACGTCCCGACTTTCCTGCATGTGGGTCGGCTCCGTTATCGGTTTTGACTTCATCTGACCTATCGGTAGGACTACGGCAATCCGGCCAAATGGGGCGAGCCAGGATTCGCTGCTTTTGTGGTGGCTGTATGCTGTCTGGCTTCTCGCCACATCGACGACCCACGCGTCCGGTCTGACCCGTCGGATGGCGTCACATCTGGGGCCACTTGGTTCGAACTCTTCGGGCGTTTGCGTGCGCTCCCGGGTGCAGACAGGCCAACTGTATACACTGTGCAGGCCGTTCTTGTTGCCGGCGTCTACGCCGTGGGAGCCGGCCGCCTATCGCGAGCATTCGCGCTCCTGGCAGAGTCTGCGAGCTTGAGCGTCGACGCCGGTTTGCACAGGAGCTCTGACGCGTACGGCGCCTTCGATGCGATTGAAGACGAGGTTCGCAAGCGCACCTTTTGGTGTGTGTACATGTGGGATAAACAGGCGGGCGCGCATTTTGGTCGACCTCCGGTACTTCGGTTGCGCGACTGCGACGTTGCTGAGCCCAGCCCGGTCGACGACGAGTTCATTCGCCGCGACTCATGTGGGCCTCAACCAATGGATCAGCCCAGTCGGATGGAAGCGTTTATTCACATCGTGCGCTACTATGTTGTGTTGGAGGCCGTTCTGGATGCACCTCCGGCCCGCGGTTTCGGAGATGGTTCTCCGTTCTTGAAGAGCGCCATGTCAATCCTATCTGGCTTTAGGCGGCACAACGAGCTGAGGGAGGAAGAAGCCATCGCCGACCAGCTTTCTGCGAGCATTCCTCCTCACTGGATGCCTGGACCTGATGCTCGGGCGAGCTCAGATGTGCTTCGAGTCACGCATGCGGAGCGGCTGGGGTGCATTGATGCATTCGTGCGAATGCTCATTGCGCGCCATCGGTTCTCAGAGTGCGTTGCTGCTCGGGTACAACTTGGACATGGCGCTGGAGGCGAACAGAGTGACGTGGAACGGGAGGCTATGGCGGCTGCTCATGCTCACGCTTTGAGGCTCATCGCTGAGTACCTGCAGGTGGCTACGAAGGGGCTTATGACATACTGTGCGCACACCTTTCTTCCGCAAATTCTGCTGTACTGATCGCACTTCCTAGATGGCGTGCATGTCATCCACCAGCTCACGGCGGCGGGCCGAACGCTCATTGCATTCCTTCTCAATTGCCAGTCTGATCAACTACGACCACTCATCTCGCCCGCGCTCGAGGGTCTTCGCTCTTGTGTGGGTCTCTTGAAACGCTTCAGTGGACGATATTTGTGTGGTCAACGCTCTGGCGACATGATGGAAGAGTTCTGCAGGAGTGCGTGTTTACGCTGCTTTATTTCAACTTTACTACCCTTTTCGTCGCATACTCTTTCTTTCGTCCGAACCTTTTCACCTTTCTTCGAGCCAACCTGCGTTTCACCTTCATCGCGTCCTATTCAACTTCAAGCTTTTACCTTCTCTTCTCCATCCACTTGTGACCTTCGCCATCTCTTTGGCCCCTGACACGTTACTGACCTCATGACAGTTACTCAGATCCCGCTGGACAGCCCGCAAGTACCACAAGACCTGCTACAAAAGCCTAGGCCACCTTGGTTCCGCCCGTTGCGGAAGAAAGGCGCGCGGTCTTCGTCATCGAATCACAGCGAGAGCCCCGAAGCTGGTTCTCTCTCACCTGGTGCCGATGCTACGTCGTTCGCGACGCCCAGCGCAAGCGATCTTCCCTTCTCTACACCAGAGAACGGTATTTACGGAGCGGGCGCTCTCGGCGGAGAAGCCGGTCCGTTCTCACCCGGCACGGACGGGATGTTGGCAGAGCTGCTTCGCGCGCCTGCGGGCTCTTTCGATGGCGCGACCGGGGACAACATATTTGGCGCTGCTAGTGGCGATGGCAGTATGGCCATGTCTCCAACAGATCTGCTCGCCATGTTCGGTGACGGAGGGGCCGGCATGGGATCTTTCAACGGGCATGACTTTGGCACGACTGAGGCGTTTGGCGCGACATTTGGGAGGCGGTCGAGCGATCTTGGACTCGCTACCAGCCCTGCATCATAGTATACTGTATCTGTACAGCTCGCAACCCCCTGCCTGTCATCCGGCCCCATCATCTCTCGCTCTCTCTCGCTTGCTTACTGCTCTCGGGTATGAACGCTACCTATCGTCTCTGCTTATCTCTTGTTTTCCCGGTCCCACCCTCGCAGATCGATCACCCTATGTCTATGTATATATATGAAGCCAAAGATGTATCCACTCTACCACTACTGAAAATGTTGTACCACCACACCGCTGACCCCGCCTGTATTGTGGAGCCTTGGATTGTGGAAGCGAGCGCTTGGCCTGGACTGACGCGCAGGTCACGCTAACACAATGAGTATAGCAGATATTGACGTTCTCTATTGCTCAAGGGATTGCGTCATGCTCAAGGATACAAGTATCAGCAGTTCAGGAGCTACTGTTCACGATCTCATAACCTCTTTCGCCGCCTTCAACATGCCCTCGCCATGTCTACCAGTACCCTCCTTCCCGACCGCCTTCTCGTGCCTCCGTTTCACACCCTGTAGAAGGACGAACGTATAAAACAGCGTGAGGGCTCCACCTGGACGAGTATATATCAGCCCACACCGCGTGAAGCCGTGCAAGGGTGAGAGAAAGGGGCGTACATATCACGGTAACCGCGCCAGTGACGGCCAATGTCGTGATGGAACTGGCGTTGAAGACCGAGTTCTGACTTCCGAAGACGCTCGCAATAGTACTGATGACACCAGCGAGACCATTCAGCGCCCCAGGGGTGAAGATCTTGTTCAGCAACCAAATATAATTCGCACGCCAGCGCCACCAAAGGTATATCATGCCTCCCGCGCCAACCCCGCACAGGATGTAAGCTATGACGAAGAGGGGGATGTTCTGCACGGCATGGATCACGGATGCTTCTAATGTACCGTCCGTGGTGTCGAGCGTGGAAAGAGTGCTGAATGTACCCGGGAGAACGACGAAGCCGGCGAGAAGAAGCCAGCATGCTGCTGAGGCGGCAGTGTTGTGCAAGAAAGGAACTTTGTCGAGTGCAAGGAGCATGTGCGTGTCTATGCATTGTATTAGCCGCCCGTTACCCACTGTGAAGTGCGCGAGAAGACGTACACTCGGTACCAAAGTTTGAGCCTTCTGGTAGAGGATGAGGGCCAGGGCGTGAAGGACCAGCCTCGACATCGTGATTTGCTTGCGTCGTGGGCTTCGGCTTTGCTTCAGGTTTGAGGTGCGTATCTGAAGTCGAAGAAGCGTTGGTGGGCCGCGATGAAGCCGAAGGTCTAGGCGGGTCTGACGCAGCAGTATGCGTGATAGGCGGTAGCGTAGGTGGAGAGGTATTGGTGGGACGCGCTTGTGCAGTCCCAGTCGGACGAGCATGTGTGGCACCAGTCGGACGACCGGAAGATGCTGCTGTACTCGGTAGAGGTTTGGCCGGTGTCGGCGAGGGCGCTGATGTTGGAGGACTGGCTGGGCCGGAAGGCGCGTCACTCAACCGTGCAGGCGAAGCCTCCGAAGTCTCCAGCGGCCCGATGGTCGAACCAACAGTCGGGATGGTCGGTATAGTGGGTGCATACGGCGAGAGAGGCCGTTCACTACTGGGTCGTCCAGCTGAAGATACGCGTTCGCGTTCGCTACTACGCCGGGCTCCTGATGATACCCGTTCACGATCGCTGCTATGCCGTGTGGCGGTGGGCATCCGATCATATGCTGTTTGCGGGTATGTGGATTCTGGTTGCGGTCGTGAGGCGACGGACGGTATCGGCTCCGAGGGAGGTGGTGTTGGTGCTTGGGGCATGCGCGGACCAGGACCTGCGCCTGGTCGTGTCGCAGGCGGTACGCGCTCCCGATCATGTGAACTACGTGGATAGTTGTTATCGGGGTGTTTCCGTATAGCCAGTGGCGCTACGGAGGGCGCTGGCTCCGTGGGTGGCGGGGTTGGACCGCGAGGCATCCGTGGCCCAGTCCCCTGCCGGCCAGTAGAGGGTCTGCGTTCACGATCATACGAAGTGCGCGAGTACGAGGACTCAGGTTGGGGGCGAGAGGAGACGGAAGGTGTTGGTTCTGATGGCGGAGGTGTAGGCCCCCGCGGCATCCGAGGTACAGAACCTGTACGAGAGCGAGCCGAGGGACGAGCGATACGTTCGCTCGTCGGAGATGTCTTCTCAGGCGGCGGAGGGCCAGGTGTTGATAACGGGGCAGGCATTCGGACAGGCGTGTGAGGCTCGGGATAAGTGTTTGGAGACCAAGGCGTGTATTCTCCGGCCTGCGGCATCTGCATACCGGACGGTGTACGAGTGTGCTCGCCGCCGTATGGTTGCGGCATTGAAGGATGATACGGCGCGGTAGAAGGAGTGGGCATGGGCGGCGCCGAACTGGAATCCGAGGAGATGGGCATGTACGATGACGGTTCCGGCATTGACGAAGGAGATGGTCCAGGTATTTCGCCTGTGTTCACCGTTGATGTCGGTGAGTGCATAGACGGCATCGGCTCTAGCTCCTCGGATAATGGGGTGTTGTCCCCCTGCCGCTGGAAGGGAGGCGCTGCGCCAGGGGGCAAGTATCGACGCTCAGGAGGCATCGTCTGTCCGCGCCCGGGGCGGCTCGAGCCGCTGGGGCGACTGCCAGAGGGGGCAGCAGCAGTCGGCGCCGTCGCTCGTCTACGCGACATGCCCAGTCCACCGGGCGCACTCTTCTCGTCCTCGGCATCGTATTCATAGTAGTCCGAACTCCCATGCGAATGTGGGTTGGGAAGATCAGATACAGACACCTCGTCCTCTGCTTCCGGCTCGGCTGTCCAAGCGCCCTGTTCTGGCTTGGCCGGGGAAGGCTCAGGGAACGAGGGAGAAGCAGCGTATTCAGGCTCGGGAAAAGAGGGGATGTGTTGGTTCGCTTCGGGTTCGGGGAAAGCAGTTGCTGGATGAGGACGCTCGGCTGCCGCGGCAAGTGCAGCTTCACGCTCAGCAACGGAATGGAAGACGGGGAAAGTAGTCGAGCGACCCGGCGCGCGCTTTGAGCTATCTGAAGAGGTAGCCATGGATAAGATGAAAGATGAAAGGAAGAGGTATCGCTATCGAGGCATGTGAAGAGAACAAAACGAAGAAGCGGTGTTGAGAGAAAGTGCGGTTTGCAAAGTTCAGCTGATGTTACCGCCCTGGTGTTTCCGACGGGCCACAACACTGCCTCGGTACCTTGTCCGCGTGGACAAGTACGGGTGGAATGGCCGGCTGATGGCATAGCGGGACAAGTACGCAGATACGTTCGCTTCCTTTGTGCGATCGCGAGGGCTCAGTACAGTGCATAGGCTTAGACAACGTTCAGTCGTTCATTATCCGTCTACTTACAGTGACGTGAGAAAGCGCTGCGGTGATATCCGGCTTCGAGATTTGATCACCGACGGCTTATGGTGACCTATGGTGACCCCCTCAATCATGGCCGCTGCCCGCACTCTGCGAGCCAGTACCAATCCTATTTCGTATATGTGCCGCTAATTTGACCCTTAAGCAGTAGCTTCTCCAAATGGCTTGCATAGAGAGTAAAGATCAACCACAACCCTCTATTTCGTACCCCAATCCTCTCCTACATCCTCGATCTTGCGAACAGAGTTATGAGACTTGTGGTGCGCTTCAAAAGGGCGATAATGGCTTACTAGGTCAAATGCTTTCGGTAGGGTTTTCCATAAAATATACTTCTCCGCTCCCGCACGCGCTTGAAAGAGCTCAACACATGCCTTGCAGAGCCCTGACGAAAAGTGCAAGAGGCCTTCATCGAGGGAGCGAAGCAACACGAACGGTCGTCCCAGCCGATACTCGTACAACCGTTCGTCCGACTTCTTCATTTTCGCGAAAGGCTCCGAGATGTGCCCGACGCACTCTTTATAGCGCTTGTCTTTACTAGCGCACGTCGATGACGTGTCAAAGGACTCAAGCCGCGCAAAGGCGGCTTTGCAGTCAACATCGAAGACGGCGCCTCCCTTGATCAAACGACGCAGATCGTCCGCCGAGAGAAGATTCAAGTCAGGGAGCGGAATATGCACATCCAAACGTGACATGATAGTTTGATACTCGGCTTTGAGCATTGTGTGGAGTTCATAGAATGCCAAGGGGAGTATTGAACGCACAGAGTTAGCTTTCGCGATGCTCACGGCGCGCGCTAAGCAAGCTCCTGCGTCAGTTTCGAACAAAATAGGAACTGTTTGATATGCAACAGCACACCTGGATCTAGATGCTGTCCCCTATGCTCGCGATCTTGCTCCCATTCCGACATGCACGCCGGCCAACGACTCTCCAAGAAGCGAACTGCGAGCGCATGCATAATATTAATTACCTTGGGCATCGTATTTTTTTCGTGAGCGTCAATATACGACCAAGAAACGTGATGTAGTCCCATCGCGCTCGGATGGAGGGCTTCCGGTATGAGACAGATAGCTGCAGATGTGTTTTAGGGCTTTGGTAGAGACAGATGGTAAGAGATTCACTCACTTCGGTACATACATGGCCTTGAGAAAGTCATCAACGGCTTGCCAATCGTCATCCGGTAGTTCCATGATGGGTGCGCCATCGTATTTCTCGGTTGCAACCCCGAAAGCTTCTTGTGACCCGCTGAAAAGTGAGGAGAAGAACCCGCACTGACGGGCCAGAATACTGGTGTGTACTCTGTACAGCAGTGCAAAGGCGGCGCCCTGCTCTTTCCCAGATGATTCATAAATGTCTTTAGGGGCGTCGGCCGGGATTGCGGTTTTGATTATGATGTTGCCGTCAGGGAAGTAAAGACGACTGCTACATCGCAAGACAACAGAAGGAGCGGTTTCTGGAAGGTCGCTATCGGTACGCAGACGCTTCCGTGCAGCATTGTCGTCCATGAATGCGTAGGAGGGTTGAGAAAGTTAAAGGTGGTGACGAACGGCAGCTCTACCAAGCTGATGATGACGGTGCCAGGGAGAAACGGCGCGTTCAGCCGCGAGCGCGTATGATCACACGTTACTGATCGCGACAAGTCACAAATTGATGTTGTTCAGAATGTGAATAGATCGACTAATGGGGTTCGACAATCGTTCCTACGTAACGCAGTCCATACACATTACCATATGCTAGCTATACCCAAATCAATACATAGTACGCATAACAAACAAGAGTCGACAATCAAGGGGCCCAATCAAATCAAGTCCGAGGCGGCAAGCAAACAGGCCACGGGCTTCACCAAAGCCGATCTACGTCCTCCTCGTCTTCCTCCTCTCGCTAGCCTCGCCCTCGCAGATCATATCAACAACACGATCCCGAGCCTCTTCAAGCCCTGGCTCCTCGAACGCCTCATGGCCCAAAGTCCTACGGAGCAACGCACGCATCTTGCCCGCGCTCTCGCCCGCCGCGGGGCTAAGCACGACCTGCACCTTCCCATCTGCGATTGTCGAGGGGAAGAGCGCACGAACGCGTACGAGGGCAGCGAGAACGGCTGCCTCCGCGCCGTCGCCGAGCGCATCGGCCGCGTCAGCGGGAACTGTGGTGCCATGCGCGAGAGCGTCGAGCAGGATGGCGAGGCGGGCGGTGTTGCCTCCCAGTGCACGAGCGGACAAAACCGTCTCGCGCACGTCCTTCTCAGCATCTGCGGATATTCCAGCTGATGCGGGTGACACTGCGCGCACGAAGAGCTTCGCAGCAGCGGCGCGGATGTCGTCCCGAGCGGCAAGGACACCAAGTGCTTGCAGCGGTGAGGCACCCTGCTTCGCGAGAGTCGCCGCGCGCGAAGACTTCAACGCTGCCGCGGCAGTACGGACGTCTAGGCGTTCCAGAGCGCGACGCTGCGAAGGTCAGTTAGTCTTGATTATCTTCTCAGATTCGGGGCTGGGAACATACCTCAGCAGGTCGCATTTCACGTGCGGCGGCGGCCTTCTGCCAGAGACCCTCAGCACGAGCAGGAGACAACGGGAGCGCCAGCAGCGCAAGCGTCGCGAGGTCGCTAGGCTGCGGACTGAAAGCCGGCATATGGCTCATAGCACCGAGATATGCCTGAACGCGGTTGCCGAAGCTGGCGGTCCCGTCGAGCGCGATGACCTCGCCAAGACGCATCCACGCACGCTGCTCGAGCTGCAGGCGCTCAAAGCCGCGGTCTGCGCGGCGCCCACGGCTGATCTTGCCGACGACGCGAACAAGCACGCCAGTGAGGCCGGGCCAAATACGGAGGGCTGCGCGCAATTGCGCCGCCTCGTCGGGCGCGCCACGAGCAGCGGGCGACAAGGCGTTGACGAGCGCGAGGCGAGGCAAGGGGTCCTGTTGGGACGAAGTGGTCGATGGCTCGGATGGCTTGCGCGTGAACGAAGGACGGCGCAGTGTGGAGCCGATGTCCGACGGTAGACGCAAAGCCTTCATGATGGCAGGCAGCCATGGCATAACGATACTAGCGAAGACCAGTGCACTGACGAGCAGATGGAAAGCGCCAATGAGGTCGTGCCACTCTACCCCAAACACGGCCTGGGCGGCGGGATGAGAAGGTCCGGGTGCGGACGTCAAAACAGTTCCACTATGTCCATAATGCGTATGTGTAGGGGTGCGACCGGGCATGTTGAAGAACGAGAAGAATGCAAACGCCGCGAGCAGGTACTGCGCGCCCGGCGCGGGCTGAGCAGCAGCCGTGACAGGGGGCGGGACGGGAGCAACGACGGGTGCAGGCTGCTCCTTGCGCGGACGACCCCGCTTGCGTTTCTCCGGCTGCTCAGCGGGCTTCGCCGGCGCTACGGGCTTCTTCTCGACGCGGGGACGCTTCCTCGCGCGGCCGCCATCGTCCTCGTCGTCTTCGTCGTCGTCATCATCATCGTCGTCCACACCCTCGTATTCGAGCTCATCCCTCTCCTTTCCACCGTACTTCGCTGCCCAGCCCGCCTCGAATTCGCGCAAGAGAGCCTGGCCACCGACGAGGCCCTGGATGAGCTCACGCAGACCATCCTTCTCCCGCTCGAGGCGCGCCTCGCGGCGCTTGAGCACGCGGATGTATTCGGCGGCTTTGCCAAGTACATTGGCCTTCGAGACTTTGCGCGCTACCTTGACACCGTCGGCGTAGCCGCGGGCGTCGAGCAAGTCCGCAGGTTCCTCCGTGAATGGCAGACCCGCCTTCTCGGAAGCCTTGCGGCGCTCGAGAACGCGGAGCGCAGGTACGGCATCCTTGAGACCCTGGATGCGCGTATTGAGATTTGTGCGGTAGCGACGCTCAATAGTAGTATGCGAGGTCTTTGTCCGAGCGCCAGGTGCAAGCGGCGGCAGGTCAGGAGCCGCAGCGGTTGGTGCTGGTGTTGCTTGCGGCGAAGGCGAGGGAAACGATGAGCTGGGAGCCGAGGACGTCGGTGAAGTTCCAGGGCGCAGGCGCGGGATGGGAAGCTTGCCTGGATACAAACGTGAGATCGGCCGCTCGATGGATGCATTGGGGAAATGGACTTACCAGCTTGGGCCATCGAATTTGTAGGCACCGCAAGGGTGACACCGGCTGACTGCCGCGCCTGATGCGCGAGAAGCGCAATGGGATCATTAATGGGTATGGAAGCTTCTGCAGCAGGCGCCGGCGGTTGCATGGTCATGCTTGTATTCGAGGCTGGGCTCGAGGAGAAGTCGAGCGAAGGCGAGAGTGAGGCACCAGATGAACTCGAGCTCGAGGTGACACTGAGTCTGCGAGGCTGCTGGCTAAACGCGGATGGATCGAAGAAGTCCTGGTTCGCCACTCCGAGGCCGAAATGGAGCGCGGACGGGTCGACAGACGGCGCGCTAAAGTCGAAGGCGTCGAGATCCATCGGCATAAAGTTAAACATGTCCACGCTCGCAGGCTTGACAGTTCCCGGTGCCGGCGCTGATGGCTGGACTTGGGCATCGAGGTCGGGGTCCTTAAAAGTAGAGTCCCATAGTGTACTGAATTGCGACCAGTCTGGAGGACTATCCGCAGAAGCCGAGCTTGACTCGTGGGAGGATGAGCCAGGCGGCGACGGCGCGGTGCTCTGCTGCAGCGCAGAGAGGAACGCGAGCGGGTCGCTCAGGTCGGTGAACTGCTGCTCATCCTGGTTCTCTGTGGCGGTAGACATGATCGAAGTAAGAGAGCAAGCAGCACGGAACTTCTGTGGCCTGACTTTGAGCGCAGTGTCGAACGATCTTCCTGACGCGATTCTTATGACCGACTAGCTCCCACGTGGCGTGTATATGGGGCTTTGTGGTTCGATTATCCCTCCTCTCCACCCGCGCGCATAAGGCTGTCCGAGCCAAGGAGACAAGGCAGTGACACAGGTGCACCGCACTGTAAGTATATCTTCCGAACGAAAAGGGGAGATAAAGCAGCAATGGGCGTCTGTGGGCGCTCGAAAGACATTGTTGACGCCGCGGTCCGTCGCAGTCCGCGTGGCCACACAACTTACCCTTCCCCCTCATACCCGAGTACCTACGGCCAACTTCTCAAGTACATACTCTACTGCCACAGGCGCTTTTTTCACTCCTCTGATACCCATGGATGGCATCAATGTATCGAGAAAGCGTCAGCGCACGGGCGACGCCATCGTCATTAAAGCCGAACCTCTTCCGAACGATACCCTACCAACATTGAAGGCTCAGGACCACGATGACGGGAACGTCATCATCAAGACATACACCCATTTTTCTCGGGCGGAAGCGATTATATTATATCGCACCGGCCGCATAGTCGCGGATTCGCTAGACGAAGCCCTCAATGCCATCCCTCCCAATGGTTTGGACGGCCTCGTTCAATACAAAGTTCATCGGAGCATACTTGTTTCCCACAGCAACGTCTTTGCCGACTACTTTAGCGGCAAGGAGACTATTCTTAATGATCATGTCGAGCAAGGCGATGGTGTAACCGTCTTCACGGTGGAAGACCAACGTCTGGACCTGGATGAGTTCTTTAGGGTAATATACACTCCCTAGTAAGTCTTGCATGCCATACCATACCCCATTTTGATACCTATTGACAGCTCCAGATATCTGAGCGACGCTGCCGCGAAGTGCGACAAGATAACTATGCTCGGCATATTATCTCGGATACTCAATGCTACAGAGAGGTTTGACTCTCGGTCCATCCGCGAAACCGTGGATAGTTATATTCAGCGACTATACCCTGCACGGCTTTCATCTTGGGATAGAGACAAGTTCAATAGCTTATCTCCACCTGGTACGTGTGAGACCACGCTCTCGAGACATGTGCCCACTAACATAGCCCTCCAGTCACCGCTCTCACCATCCGACTTGGTATAGATCACAAAATTGGCTCTATCCTGCCAATATTTCTCTACCATCTGAGCACCACACTCGGAGTCTTTGATGGCTTCGCCAGTCCTGATCATCAGGTCGACTTCGACACCGTCTTGGCGACGTTGACCGCGCGTGAGACGCGCATACTCTACGGAGGAAGTTCGACACTATACTCGCAGAACAACTTTCGCATGGCAGCGCTCGCTGCTCTTGAGGGCTATTCATCATGCAAACGATCTTCGCCACCCGGAGTACCCGAGTGCACGGAGATCTTTGCCGGGATAGTGCGCCCAAGCTTTGCGCTGCCTAGTTCACCGGCCAGCGCCTATCGAACCCGCTTCCCTCTGGACCGATTTGATCAGATCGAATCGGTCGTTGCGACGCATAATGATATATGCCCCACCTGTCAGAAGGACTTCGTACAGAGGACACGGGAGGCTAAGCTACAACTGTGGAAGGATCTTCCGCGTATCTTCAACGTCGTGAGCATGCCTCTCCGTCCCATACGCTATCGAGCTCAATATGTGATGTGCGTGCGTTACAGGTTGACCTGGCTGGGAAAGGATGGGGTTCTGAGTGAAACGTCGTCGTGCGTCGGGCGACGGCGGAGAGATATAGAGGGCTGAACTGTTGAATGTGAGGTTTTGTATTGGCTGTTGTATTTCTTGGATGAATCATGAACCCATACAATACCATCTTGCATTGTGGTACACAATGTTCTGAGCTCTATATGTTTTACTTCTCATGTCGTGTTTGATGTACCACTCGTTAAGATAGAGCCCAAGCTCTGCGGTACTAATGACCCAACATGCAGTCCAGGCGGTAAACCTGGTTCGAATGCGTACGCAAATCGGTCGTGAGGTCAGGACGCCCGCCAGACGATATGCGTGGGAAGTACTCGGCCCGAGCTCCGAGCTTTTGCCCACTGTGACGACCTTGCGAAGCGCAACTCCACTCTCGCCACCACCAGTTGCTCAACCCTCAGCCCTAGACATTTGTGAGGACCTACCCGCATACATCTACGTGATACAAAGACTGTTTGCTAGTGTAGCTCTTTCTACATGGATGTAGTAGGTCCGCCGAAGAAGCGTCAGCGCACTGAGAATGATGATGTGATTGTGAAACCCGAACCCTCGAACGATATTGGGCCCACCGCGACTCTTCTTGACTACGACGACGGAAACGTTGTCATTAGATGTTATACTCGCCTTTCGGTCGCGGAGCTATCAACGTACTATCGAGAGGGGCGAATTGCCACAGACTCGGTAGAAGCAGCAATTCAGGCCATACCTGCAGAAGGCATATATGGGTGCGTCCAGTATAGAGTCCACCGGGGCATCCTTGCCTCCCACAGCACTGTATTCTCCAACCATTTCCGTGGGGAAGAGACCATCCTTACCGGCCACGACGAACGACGCGACGGCGACCTCGTTTTCGAGTTCACGGGGTATGATACCCAAGATCTCGAATTCTGTCAGGATATGGATGCTTTCCTGGCTATGATCTATTCCCCAGAGTAAGCATCCGTCTTTTCTTCTGCGTACAAAATTGACCGTTGTTTCAGCCATCTCAACGAGAGAGCCACCAAACTCAGTAAACTGGGCGTTCACCAACTTCTCTCTCGTATTCTTCGGGCCTCGAAGCGATACAACTCAACATCCATCCGTACCATCTGTGTCGGACATCTCGAGAGGCTATACCCCACTCGGCTCTCTTATTGGACGTCGGAACGATTCCAAGAGATTCCTCTTGCTGGTGCGTCACGGAGGTCCATCGGCTTGAGGTTCAGCTAATGAGATGATTCATTAGCGACCACTATCGCCATTCGGTTCGCTACGGAGCATAGTATTGGTTCTATTGCACCAATACTGCTCTATCGACTCAGCACGTTATTCGCGTCTTTCGACGGCTTCGAACACCCAGAGCACCAAGAACCCCTTGACAAGCTGTTGGCACCCCTCACCGCCCAGGATCTACAGTCTCTCCTAAGGGGCAACGCCACCCTAATATCCCAGACGGGCCTACGCTTGGCTCGCCTGACAACTCTTCCCGAACCCGGTTCATGTCAACAACGTCAAGGGCTCAATCCAATGGTCTCCTGCTCGGCCGTCTTCGCCCGCCACGTCCGCCCTCCTTTCGCCTCGCCCGATGCTCCGCCATCGGCCTACTATGCTCGGAATCCCCTCGACCGGTTCGATCAGATCATGTGTGATGTTGCGAAGGAGGCGCTGATATGCGTGAACTGTAAGAGCAAGCTCTTGCAAGAGACGAAGGCGGCTAAGGCGAAGCTGTGGAAAGATTTGCCACGCATCTATAATGTGGTGAGCACCATCTGTTGTGATATATAGCATAGCTCATCACATTATCTTGCGGGCTATAGGTCAACCTTACTGGAGAAGGCTGGGGCTCTGAGTAAGGACCGCTGAACGTCGTACATGAGAGTGCAGTGCGCTACATGAGAGGGCAGTGCGCGCATCATCTAGCTTCCGACGCTCACGCACGTTCTTACTCATACTCCTTCGTTCGACCATCCCCATCCATTCTACGTCTCTTAAACGCCGCAATGGCGGCCATGCCCTGCTCGCCTTGCCGTTGTTTGCAACGTGCCTCCATTGAAACAGCTATTGAGCAGAGACGTCTGCTGTCTTGTAACAGTCGACCGCCTCTTGTCTATGTTTGTTTTCCCTTCTTGTTGCCATACTTCGAACTTTCAATACATGCTTGATTCAGGTAGACTCCTGAGACATGTGTCCCAGGAGATGGGTGATCCAGTTCTTCCCACCCGAAACTTCACCCGAGATGGGAGGCCACCTCCCTCTCTGGTTTCGGATATGCATTCGCATATAAGAGCTCGCCACCTAAGTTTGGAAGCGAGAACCATCATCTGCATCGATCATCATGTCTGCCTTTGTCACCACTATGCCACCTGCCTTCTTCGAGACATCTGACGAACGCGTTGAGCATTTCGTACAATTTCGACCTAATCTAGCCCATTTCACAGGCGACGCTACGGTCTGCTCTTGACTTCTTGCATAGACGATACGCATGCTGACTGCAAATCTCGTAGCTCACGCCGTCCACCTCGAGCACGAACTTCAGCGCTCCCGGTCGCGAACCTCTGAGGAGAGCACCAACTCCAGGTTTATTATCTCGGACCGCTTCTACGTCATCTATCACCACGACGTATTCCACTCCGCGCAGTGACTTCGTGACATTCAGCGGTTGGCGAGACCAGTATGACGAAGACGAGCATATCGAGCCTCAGGAGACGCAGCGCTTTCCCACGAGCTACCTTCGGCACCGCTGTTCTACTCCTACCGAGGAGACTCGCGACCAGCGGAACTACGTCTGGTACACTCAAGCACACGAAGACATTGGCAAGGCTGATATGATGGATCAAGACGTACAGGTGAAGATTGAGGAAGTCGACGGAACTCTTGAAGCCGGTGAGGAGGCGACCTTCTGGCAAGTTTCGGGACCGGGGTTCGTCTGGGGTCGGAATTCCGATGAGACACAACAGGTTCGCGCTTCGTATCGGAAATCCGTCGTGTATCTAACTGTTTCGCCAGATACGTGACCATCCAATGGACGAGGAGTAGAGATGGCGGGGATTATCAGCGAAAGATGGTCCAAAGGGTGGGCATGTCATGATACCCGGTTTTGTATACAATGACAGGATATTTTGTGTGGACTCCTACATATACCCAAATACACCCTTTGCGAATGTACATGTTTATACAGTGTACCTGTAAGCATGCAGCGTGCACCGGACTCGCTGAGACTCGCAACTAGTCTGCTCCAACGGAGACGAGCTCGAAAGAAGCAGCGCATGAACGGCAGCCTATACGACGGCTATCGTGCACGGTTGGGCGGTCTTCTCCTTGATGCGCCTATTCATTACGCCTATATATGAACATAAAGGGATAGCAGCGGTGAAGAAGGTGAGTTATTGACGCAAGGTACGTGAACGCCGTGAGAATTGTTTGAGTCGGCCGTCTTCCACGCGCGGCGATCGCGACCGCGGAGCGGCTCCGAGTTGACGACGGACGACGACAAACGTGACCGACTGCGATGCGATTTCGAAGCAAGTTCGCCCGCCTATCGGATAGGATTGGTTCAATGCTACTAGGAAGTTGAGCCTGGTATCCGAACCTTCCAGTGTGCGGTCCTGCGTGGGCAGCCGCGATGGGCACAACATATATATTTATGCGCCCCGAGGCGTATGATCATTGGCTGTACATATAATGTGTACAGGTAGATAGAAAAAGAGAAGGACGAAAAGTACTAAGTCGCGTCAATAGCAGCAGCATTTTTGCATAGAGTAGGCTATCGTTCAAGCCGCGAGATACAAAGTCCGGAGTCCGGAGATACAAAGTCCGGAGATACAAAGTCCGGAGATATAAATCCAAAGGCGCAAGATACAAAGTCCGGAGATACAAAGTCCAGAGATACAAAGTCCAAAGATACAAAGTCCAGAGATACAAAGTCAGAGGATACAAGGTCAAGAGATACAAAGTCCGGAGATACAAAGTCACATAGATGACACCGTCCAATGACCCGCTCCCCTGCAGTTCCATCAAATTCTGGCCCGTCGCGCACCCGTCAACTGCGTCAAAGGAGACGAGAATTGTACGCGAACG